TTAATTAGTAATATTAATACTTTAGGAATTTAGCAATATTACTACATTTCAAAAAAAAATATTGACATAAATTAATTTATATGATATTAATATCTATCTATACAAATATATAATTTTTAAAGCTTAAATGCTTATGTGGCAAAATATTAAAATATGAAACTGATGATACGATATTTTATTTTTTCATTTAATTAATATTTTTTACATGTAATAAAAATTAATTTTTTATGAAATAATGGAGTTACAAATTAATAAATTTAATGGGTGATTTCATTATAATTAATATTTTTTACATCTAAAAAATATTGATTTTTTTATTAAATAGGTTTATCTATCAAAAAAACTAATGGGGTTATAATAAACCAATATTAATGATTTTTCTTTCATAATAAACCTCAGGTTAATCCATATTCTATCAGAAAAAAACTTCAATCGGGGTGCTCCTATAATAGGAGTGACAGAGTCAAATAAACAAACTAGAAAATGTAAATAAATATAAGTTTACTAAGAAATTAACAAGATAGAAACCTAAAAATTATTAATTTCAATTGGCACTGAAAAGATTTATGAATTATTAACATTAAATATTCTGAAGTACTACTCATCTCAATATTAAAATATATTGAGAATTCTTACAGAAAAAAAAAAATTTAATTAACCTATATTCGAGTTGACATGTATAATTAACATTTATTTACAATTGGAGCGTAATTGTCGCTAATTAATATCCCTCAGTTTTATGACTTGAGGAAATTTTTATTAAAACAAATCTCTATAAATTATAATAATTTTATTTTATTACTTAAAAAACCCTTAAATAAATAAATTATTTTGCTAATTAATATTTCAGTTTATTACTTGAGAATTTTTTTAAAAAAAATTATAATTATAATTTTTATTTTTTAATTAAAAATAAATAAATAAATTATTTAAACTAAAGCAAAAAAAATATAAATTACAATGATTTTCTTGAAAATTACATTCAATTTAATTTAAAAAAAATATAAAATTATATGGTCTACACATCACGCAGGTATATAATTAGTTTAATAGTCAATAATTGAGTATATGCCTTGTGAAATAAGATGATTACGAACTGAGAATTTATAGATTTAATTTAATAGCAATTTAATTGAAAAATACACATTTGATAAACAAAGCTTACTAAGGAATTCAAAATTTTTAATTAATGTTTTTGAAATAGTTTTATAAAAAAAAATTTAACAAGAAATTTTAAAATAATTTGATATATTAATAAATAGGATAAAAGACAAAATAAGCATCAATAACTAATTAGGGTCTGCTATATGAATCTTTTACCTTAATTCTATTCTGTTCATAGCTACATCCTCAGTAATACTTAATTCTATTCTGTTCATAGCTACATCCTCAGTAATACTTAAAGATCGTAATTTTAACTTCCCTTCAAACAGTTTCAGGTTGACCCTTTTTTTTTTTTAACACCCTCTACTACTTAAGTATCAATTTGAAAAATAGGCTATGTAGAAATCTACATAATAGATAATTATATCATCTCAGACGTCTTCTCTCATTTTATTTCCACCTTCTGCTATTTGTGTTTTTTTATTTCATGATATCACTTTACGTGACCACACATCCATTTCAACATTCATTTTGTAACATTGTAATATATCCATTTCAACGTCCATTTCATAACATTGATTCGTATAATTTTCTTTTTTGAAAAAAATTAAATTAGAATTTCATTAATTGGAAATTGTATATAGATATGAGATACAAATCAATATATTTCTATATTTTTGTATAGGAAGCATAATAATAAACCACTTATATAAAGAATAAAATAACACAATCTTGAGTATATGATCGAGTTGACAAAGTATAATATTTGTGCTATAAATGATCATTTGCTCCACTTGGTGGCTATTTATGGCCACTGTTCGACTCCACAGTCTTTCTACAAGTCCGACCTGATTACCTTCAAATTTCTTCCTTCTATTGGAGAGGAGATCTGCACTTCTTTTTGTATAACAATCCAAATAATAAAAGATGCCAGATACAATCACCATAATGGTAATAACAATAACTCAAAACTAGATTTGAGGATAATATTTCAATATATGAACGATAATAAATTTCATTATATAAGCGACAATAACTCAAATCTATTGACAGATATACGGATTATTTGCAAACAAACAAAGGAAAAGGGTGGCTGCCAGTGAGAACTCATCGGTAGCCGCCGTTCAAAGAAGAGAAGAGAGGATTTAGGTTTAGAGAAAAAGTGAGAGAGAATTTGATTCGTATAATGAAATATATTTTAAAATAACATTATTCTATTACTTGGGTAGGCCAAGTCGCCAAGATTTAACCCCTACCTTAAAAATTGCATTCTCAAGGCTAACCCTCTTAGGAGTTGACTGACGCTGGTTTTAGCCAGGCTGGGCTAAGGGACAAAACCCTTTTCCCAAGCTCAAGCCCAATTGAGAATTTAGGCTAACTCATTACCATAAATAAATAGAAGTTCAATCATTTATTTATATTTGGAAGAAGCATAAAGGTAAGATTTAAAGTTAATGGGTAGAACAACATTTTCAAGCCAACAGATAGCTTGGCAAATCTGTTAGTAATTGTTTTTTTTGTTAATAAAAGCAATAGTACCTTATAATATTTAAATTATGATATAATGTATGATAAATAATACCAAACTAATTAATAGCTCTTTTATCTTTTGGTCGAATGGCAATAAAGCATAAATTAATTATATAAAATAATAAAAGAAGGTTATGGGTTCCATTGTTCATTGCTTTGATGTGAAATTATTTAATTTGAATAAATTTTTCATAAAATAATAATTTTTATATACTAAAATTATTAAAGTTATTTTTCATCCATTACATGCATTACTTAAAATTACAAGCCTGAATTTTAAATTAAAATCCTCTTTTTTTATATAACTATAACCAATTACATTGTTAATAATCCTAATTTTGAGACAACTTTTTTCTCCGTACATTCTAAAGTCTAGTTTAGCAATATTAAGCGATGTAATAGCTATTATAACAGCTGTCAGTTGTTATATTAACAGTTGACTATTAATGGTTAGATATTTATATAATGGTTTAAAGTATAATTGTACATAAATAATAGTTGTTTAATTAAATATTAAATGTAAAATAATTTTCACATGTTCAATTTAATTGTTGGATATTCCTTCTGTCCCAAAATATAAGTCGTTTTTGGGTAATTATCGTAATCCAAAATATAAGTCGTTTTGAGTATTTTAAGAGATAGTAAACGATGTCTTTCCTATATTACCACTTGATACAATAAATATTTTTACAAGTAACTATTGGTTGAGATAAAGGATAATTTGGTTAAATTACCCTTGGGTTTGTTATAACGTAGGAGAATTAATTACTTCCTTAATATTTATACAAAAATCTTAAATGACTTATATGTTAGGACATGAGAGTATTAAGGAGGAGAACGTTTAATGAAATAATCTCTCAAAATTTGATCATAATCAAAATATTTAACGCTACCTTAAAAGTTGTTGCAATCAAAACTTAAGTAATTAATATATAAAATTTTGCATTAACTTTCAATACTGATGGCTTAATAAAAAATAGCCATGCTTTTGCTGGAGTTTTGATTAGAGACGGTTCAGTTCAAGAGTTATTTTATTCCTTTTAATTAAAGATTGCTGTCTATTAATTTATTTTCATTTGGTTAAGACAAGATACCTACGGTCTATGAATATCTATACTGAAATATGCACGTTTGGACGAGAATTTTCACTTTCTTTTTTTTTTTTTTTTTTTTTTTAGCGACGGATTTCTCAGGTTTCAAGAGTTATTTTTTATTCCTTTTATAATTAAAGATGCTGTCTATTTAATTTATTTTCATTTTGTTTAAGGGACAAGTACCCACGGTCTTATGATATCCTATACTGAAATATTGCACGTTTTTGGGACGAGAATTTTCACTTTCTTTTTTTTTTTTTTTTTTGCAAATTCAATTTACAATTAATATTTACTTATTTAGAAAAATACTAAAATTTCCATAGGTCATTAAATAAAAAGCTGCAAGAGGAATGTTTGCAAGTAAGGGAGGAGCGTCAGAATTGTTAAGTGAAATCACAGCTCATATTTGTACTCACAACAGAGAATTTTATCCCATTAGGATTTAAAAATTTTTTTTTTTTTTTTTTTTTTTTTTGCAAATTCATTTACAAATTAATATTTACTTATTTAGAAAAATAAAATTCCATAGGTCATAAAAAGCTGCAAGGAATGTTGCAAGTAAGGAGAGCGTCAGATTGTTAAGTGAATCACAGCTCATATTTTGTACTCACAACAGAATTTATCCCATTAGGATAAAATTTCAAAGGACAAGAATAAGCTATCCTAAATTGGTCACTGTTGTTCATGGAACGCCTCACCGGTCAAAATTATGGCTGTATTTGGGAATAACTTTTTAAGTTAACATAATAAAAATTATTTAAAAAGTTATTCGGAATTATGATAGTATTTTCTGAACAGTTAACTGATGAACTTTTATTGTTTCATGAAAAGCTATTCAGACGATTAATTTTGCCGAAAAGATCCTACATCACATTTTATATCAATACATTTAATTATGTGATATTATATTACATTACAGCTTATCAAATGAAATTTATTTTATTTTATATTATGAGGTAACTATTCGATTCTAAGATTATTGCATATTTTTCTATTGTTAATATTAGGAATTTTAGAATCAAAGCATACGAGATTTTGCAGAGATAGAATTTAGAATTCAATTCTACTCACATGCCATATCTCTCTACCTTCTGTCAATAACATAATAACCCATTTAGAAAAATGCCTTTATGTACAAAATCCACATCCAATCTTCAAGAAATCTATTCTCTTGAAAAATTTTTTATGCCATCAACTTGTCTTTAGCAGAGTCAGTATCATGGAAAAACAAAAAAAGAAAATCTTCAAACACATGGGTTTAATGAACAGAAATGAACTTCAAAAAGGAAAATTTACATTGCATTTATGATTTAGCAATGTACAAACATGTACTTCATATGGCTATTAACACTATAGAAGTGTAAAAAAAAAAAAAAGAAAAGAAAAGGAAGAAAGACTTGAATTTGCTTATATTTATGAAACAAATTACTCTAAAACATAAGTTTCCTCATCTCTTCTAAACCTCTTTTGCCTAGCAATAAAAGCCTCCACTGTGCATCTAAATTCTTCATTGCTCATACTATCTTCAGGATATGAAATTTTTACCCATCCCTCGCTAGACTCAACATTTTCCTTGAATTTCTCTGTTGCGGACCGCCTCAATTCCCTGCAAGACTTATTTGGATTAGCTTTTATTAATAATTTCTCCGATTGGCTTCTCTGATAATTCTTGATTTCCAAAGCAGCACGAGTTTCTTCACCAGTTACTGTGTGCTGAACACAAGCGCCCTGTTTTCCTCTGTTTATGCTCTGTTTTGCTTTGTTTTGAGGTTCATATAGGTGCATCCCATGACTTCTCTCACTTTTTTGAAGAAATTCTTCGTAAATATCAGTTCTTGAATTCTTACCAGTAGAATCTTGACTTGAAAACTGGCCTGATTTTGCAAAAAGAGTGATGACTATGACATTTCCAAGGACAAACACGAAGCGAGGGCTTACAAGGATGACAGTTAAGTCCTTGAAGTATTCACTAGAGTTCTTGACAGCAACTGGGAGTCGAATCGAAAACCTTGAAATCAAAGCAAGCACAATACATACTTCTATGAACCTAAAGAAGTTGGCTATCTTTTGGAGCTGTCGATGCTTCTTAAGTGCGTTTGCTTTCTTGAGTTTGATGTTGCTGCAGTTGAATGAATCCATTTGGAAATGTGAATCAATAACTAATTAAATGGAAAGTGAGATGGTAAAGAGAATTTCAGAATTGTGGATTCTTACTCAAAAGAGGATTCAAAAACAAGAAAAGCCTTGGTAGCTGCCATTTCTCTGTATTGAGAAAAGTTAGAGACTACCATGACTGTTGCAGATACTTTGCTGCCTGAGAGCATATAGAAACAGAGAGAACGAAAACAGAGGGACAAGTGAGAAACAGAGCAAGGCAGGGGAAACAGAGAAAGTTTCTGTTTTTATTTTTTTCTTGGTTTTAACAAGTGGAGAATGCTACTAATGTTTTTGAAACCTTTTAGTTGTATAGGGAAGTTATTTATAGATAGTGGAATATAATGTTAGGTTTTTTTTTTTTTCTTTTTATTTTATATTCCATCTTTATTTTATTTATTAAAAATTTTCTTAAAAGAAAGAGGTATTATATTCCAATTCCATTCTTTTGCTTTATTGAAAATCTAGAAGTTGTGAGATTTTCTGTGGCATAATTGCTCTTTTTTTTTTTTTTTTTTTTTTTATTTAAATAATTATTCTAGAATAGAAAGAGGTATTATATTCCAATTGCCATTTCTTCTTGCGTTATTGAAAAAATCTAGAGTTTGTGAGATTTTCTGTGGCGATAATTGCTTCTTTTTTTTTTTTTTTTTTTTTTTAATCCGCCTTTTTTTTTTTTTTTTTTTTTTTTTAATCCTGCCTTATTCCCTCTCCTCTATCTTTTTCACCTAGCAATAGTTTTAGATGACAGTGGCAGGCAAGTTAAGTGTGCAAGTAGCCTACTATAACTAATATTTTGATGCCAGCAAACAATGTCTATGTTACCCTTTTCAAGATTGTGGGCAATTATTTCAAATATATATACCACTTTGTTTGAGAATATCCCTACCAAAGGCTAAAGAGAAATTATCTTTTTTTTTTTTTTTTCTTTTTTTTTAACCATATCCATTGTCAGCTACTCAAGAATGGTTTATACACATGATGTTTGTGACATCCCGTGTTTGGGGCACAAACACCTTAGGCAAATCTCACATCGGGCTACGCACAAAGTGGAAGCGATGTACATAAAGGGTGGCAGGTCTTAGGATGCCAAAACGCGTTTTGGGCTATCAGGCGTGGTTTCGCTGGCCCAGGAACAAAACTGTGCGGGCTCGTGAGTGGGCTAAAAGCGGACAAATAAAGGGTGGCAGGTCTTAGGATGCCAAAACGCGTTTTGGGCTATCAGGCGTGGTTTCGCTGGCCCAGGAACAAAACTGTGCGGGCTCGTGGGCCTAAAGCGGACAATATCTTGGTAGGCCTGGGCTGTTACAATGATTCCTCATGTTTAACAATAAAAACTTCAATTCATCTTAAGATTGTTTATTTAACCTCAAAGCTAAATTGGAGATAAAACTTTGTTATCATTTTATGGATAGGGACTTTCCTACATTACATCTATGTTCATTCTAAGATGAAAATTTTGCTCAGGATCTTTACAGGGTTCATATGGGATACATCATCTTTCAGGATGTGAGCAAATGGTTCCCCAATTTAATTCAGTAATTCCGATCTTTTTTTTTTTTTTGCTCAATTAATAAATTTAAACATATTTGATTATCGATTAATGATTCAATTAAAATCGACTATAACTATATTAGCCAAATTAATCGAAGCATAAAATGGTATCGTTTTTAATGCTTAGAATAGAGTAATAAATATTACGATTAATTTAGTTAAATTTTTTAAAATCTGTTGGTTAGGTTCGTTTACAATTTCTTTATTTCAATGTGGTTAATGTAAAAAATTAATTTGGCCAATTTAATTTGATTAAATTCGAATAAAATATGCAATTCAATTACATTAGATTACTTCAAAAAATAATTCGATTAAAAATCTGATTGGAAATTAACCGAACCAATAGAACGTTCATCACACCGTCTTTATAGGCGTCTTTATAGAAATATATGAGAAAACAAAAAATGCATGTGCTCTAATATCATATTAAAACCGAGATATCAAAATTGAAGGAGCTAATAAGTTATAAAATAAAGTTTAGAGATTATTATAGAGGCGATGAGAGATAGAGATATCGAATCAACTTTTTTATAAGAATGTTTTTTAACAAATATGGTGATTCAACTATAATGATTCTATTTGGATTAGCAATTGCAATTAATTAATTATAATTGCATACAATATTCATCATATAAGTTTAGAAAAGGACTTGACTTTTATTACTAGATTGTCATGTTAAAAGCTGTTGTACATGTAAAGGAGAGTGATTGGGCCACATATAAATCTATTTCTTCCTCACGAAGACATGGCCACATAGACAACTGCTATTTCTATGGCAATCTCTGAATCTCTAACCTTTAACTTCTCTTTCTTCTTCCTCAGGACCCACCATTAATGATAATAGAGACTGATTTTTCCTGTGCTTGTTTGGCTTTTTAGCTAGATTTATACTTTAGTATCTCCATTTGCCAATTGCTATGCATCCTTCAAACCCTTTTGATATGTCTGAGTGGTTCTTCACTCTGCTGTTTGTTTTGATATATCTATCGATATATGAATGATTGTGACATTAAAAGGTTCTTTGTTTTCTTTTGTCAGTTGAAGAAGACAAACCAGCTATTCTTCTCTTTCAAGGTTCTCTTCCATAAATTTAGTTGTTTTGATAGACTGTGAGTTATTTTAGTAGCAAGTAGCTGTTATCTATTTCAGAAACTGTTGATGAAACGTTAAAAAGTTGAACCTTACATAATTTAACTTTTTATAAAATGCTAAGTTAATCTAAAAGCTAGTTCAAACGCTATATTATTGACACTGTAAAAAATAAAGACGAACTAGTTGTATTCCGCAAATCATAGGGGTCATACTTTAATTTTCCCTTTAGATATTAATGGTAAATTCCATGAAAATTTTTAAGTTTGCAAGACATGTAGTAAAAAAAAATTGTAAATAAATTTTTTCGAAACAACAACTAGTTGAGGTCGAATATATAAATATTTTATTTCTATTCCACTTTGTTCAGGATTTGTATTTTCAAACTCATAAATTGGAAAACAATTCATGTACTATTGAATAAAGTTTAACTAGCAAAACTTTCAAGATTTTAGAATTGACTGGGAGGGAAAGTATTTCTTTTTTAAAAGCAATTGCACAAGATAGTTGCAAGTGAGAGTTTTATAAGTTTTGGAAGTGCTATGTTTGCTCTTTCTCAAATTTAATTTTGCTCTCCTTGTCGTAAAAGATGAACAGCATTTTGAGATTACTATGAATTTACTTATAAATTCAATCCCAACTAATTTAAAATTAAAACTTAATTGTTTTCTTCTAATAATATATTTAATTAAAAATATATTATTTACATCGAGATTAAAATATTTGTTCTTTATAATTATAATTAAAATAATTCAATTCTAACATTATATCAATTAGTCAATATATTTAAAGGGTTTAAGTATTAGAGGCAAAAGCATACATATGAATTTTTGTTTATTTAAGAAAGCTTTAGTCTCAAAGTGCAAAAAGATAAACTTAATACTATATATAATAAATTATTATTGAAATCATAATTTTATATATAAAAAAATGATGAAAATAAGAAAATATATTATACCAAACTTTCAGCTAAAAATTCTAATTAAAGCCTGACAATAGTTTGGCAATAAAATAGCAAAATTAGGCAAATAATAAGAATCTTGTGGTGTGGTTTATGTATTTTGCCGTGAAAAATGGAAAACCATTCATTCAATAATATTTTTGGTAATTTTATCATTACCTATGCCTAAATGGATTATTTGAATTATCTATTTCAATTCAACCTAAATTATGTATATCACTCATATTTTAACCATTAAATGTATAATGGTTTCTTATTACTTCTTCAAAGCTTGGCTTAATTGATCACTATCTTTTGTGTTTTACATTTATATATATTTTTGTTGATTTCAAAATATAATTTAATGATTTTGATTAAAACTGTATTTATAGGATAGAACTGGTTCTTCGATTAAAATTGACTTGTACCAATATAAGTTCTGTCACATCCCGTCCCGGATCGAAAATCGAAAATTCTTGTCCCATCTTTTATTTAAAGTTCTAGTTGTCTTTTTTGTGTGAATTTTAAATTATGCCCTAAAAATCATTTCATCTTTTTTATTTTGATTTTTTTTTTTATGATACCAATTACTACTAAAGTAATAATAATAAGAAAAAATGATATGCATTTTTTAGATATAAAATAAATCAAGTAACAAACATAATTTTCAATATAGATTTTTCCTCTGTTATTCCACAGTATATGTTGAGTAAATTTTTTTTAATAAATTTTTTCTATTAAATAAAAATGGAAAGATTAATCAATACAAGAAAAAAATAGTAACCTCAATTAATGTGATTGTTGGATTATTGGTTATATTTAATGCTATCATTATTTATTTTTCAAATGATATTCAAGATTAAATTACGTAGTATTAAATTTAAATCATCTTAAAGACAACAGTGACAAAAACAATGACGACATAAAATTTATAAAATACATATAAAATTAAATTGTATATAATTTTTGCATTGTTTTATTTTATTATATTTAACATTTTTCTTAACTAGAGAATAACTACTTAAAAATCTTCTATCTTTAGTAGTAGATCATCAATGATTGAACTAATCATTTAATTAATTATTTTTTTTTAAAACTCAAACTTATATAAATGAATTTTGTTTGATTGTAATTGATGAATATAGTAATTTTTTTTATCTTTTTTTGATGGAAAATAATTTAGTAAGACTATGGGAAATCCCGATTGATTTCCGACTCGACCCATTCCGTCCTATCATATAGATCCGAATTCTCATTCCGTTCCGTCCCATTTGAGACTTTATTTTTTACGTCTCGATATTTTGAGATGGGACTAAAAATTATGAATTCCCGTCCCAACCCGACCCATGCACACCCCTACTATTTGGTAAGCTGTTCTGGAAGATACTATATATTTACATTGGAAATGCAGTTGATTAAATTACGTTACATCTATTAAACGGGATTTAAAAGTAGATTAATTACACTAAATAGATAAAATTGCACATAAATATTTAACAAATTTATGATTTTTGGAAAGCATTACTTTTTTGGCCGGAAGCATAATAATAGAATTATACAAAAGCAAAACAATAAAGCCATCACATAATTAATCCAAACAAATAGTTAGACATGTTCGACCTTTGGGCAAATGAAACGACACAAGTCACCACTCAAAAAGGAAATAATCAAATATTATCCCATTAGAGAGGGAAAGAAAATTATAAAAATACAAAAAAGGAAAAATATATT